AAAAAAAAAAAAAAAAAAAAGGTTGTACTTGTAAATAGGTAGCAAAACACATGAATTTGGACAAGACATCTTACCTGGACATTGAATGAAAGACCAGTTGTATCTGCTGTCCTCCAGACACATGCTGGAATTGAGAAGAGGCTGCGGATAGAAATTTCCTGTAGAGGCCTGTGAAGGCATCTTCACTGGTCCTTTATAGGAGCCCTCTATGCATTTTCCTTTGCCAGTATTGCTGGGATCAGTACACCAGCCACAGCCTGGTTGCTCCAAGCAATGACTACAGGTACAGTAGCCTGAACAATTCTCAGCTAAAAAAAAAAAACAAGTTGTATTCATGTATTTAAATTACCTTTTTCTTAATAGACTATTTAACTTCTGTGAGTCAAAATTACTATTCTATCATGATCATTTAAATGAAATAATAAATTTAAAGAGCCCAATATTTTTGCCCAGCATATATTAGGGATTCCTTTCCTTTTCTCTCAATCCTAGAATGCTGGAGGCAGAAGGGGCCTTTAGAGGTCATCTATTGGAAAATATTTATTTTACAAATTAAGAGATTAAGACATGGAGACATTACATGGATTGAACCATATGACCCTGAAGCTGGCCAAGTTATTTCTGTACTCTGTGAACTATCCTACATTGATTTATTTGTGTCACTGTACTTGATTCTGTATGAAGGTTCTCATTAGGCAGGAGAGAGTTGAGCAGAAGGTCAAGTCTGGTCTTGTCCCTAAAATGTTCAGAGGCTGAGAGCACGGCCCCAGGGCAAGAGTTGTCATCCACAAACAGGGCACCTGTGAATGCCTAGAGCTCACTTTGTTACTTACGGGGGCAGCTGCTCATTGTATACCACTCCATACACTGGCCGAAAGGGAAAGAGGCCACATAGGCATTGGAGTCCACACACTGCTTCATGTTGCTGCACCACATGCACTCGGAGCTGCCACTGGTGCACTCTCCACATGCTGTCCTCAAGGCACACGGCGTCCGGCACTGCTTGGCACTGTGGTTCGCTGGGAATTAAACCCAAGAGAGATACTTAGAGTTCCCACCATGTCAGCTAACGTCAGACTTTTCAAGTGTGGGTTGTGGTGCTGACTCCTAGGATGCTATAAATTCTCTTCTATGCCTCTGTATTCCTCAGACAACTGACAGTACCTTCCTAAAACTGGACATCATGTAATTGGAGTCCAGCCTCCCCAAACAACCCACAGTGCCACCTATTGCTTGTGAGTCCCTCTGCAGGAGGAGAAAGTTTGCCTTGGGCTTGACTGTGTGCAGCAGAGGCTGGCCCTGGGCCTGTCTCGTGTCACAGAACTCCTCTCATCAGCTTTCTCCCTACTGACTCTCTTTCTGAACAATGTCCCTGCAGTGATTTGCTTGCTTTTCTAATCTTTTCTTTGTTTTTATTTTCCTTTTTTGTTTTCTTCCACAGTATTTGTCTGCACACACCAAGAAATTTGCCTTTAAGAGCAAGTGTTAACACTTTTTGTGGTCAGCAAACCAATCAATCTCATTGTTAATTAGAATATTAGGTTTTTTGATTAGTGTCAGTTTTTTTTTATTTTGCTTATGGCTCAAGCCACAGACTATTCCCTGCTACTTTTAAAATTCGGGGTTATACTCTGCTTCATATGCTCAAAATCAATACTCCATCTGTTTTCAGGACTGTTTCACACAACTCAGTACTTAACTAAGCCTCCTATGGTCTCTCTCTCAATAAACTTCCCATAGCACCTCATTCACCCGTGTACTTACCAGGCCTTTCACAGACGCTACCATTGAGTGGGTTGATGCAGGTTGCAGCCTTCAAACCCCGAGTACTGGGTTCTGACAAGATTCCACAGAATCCAGCATCACTGGGCTCAGATGGCATCCACTGCAGTAAACTATTTGTAAATGGGGACATATCTTCCCAGCACCAATAGGACACATTAATCTTCCGAAGGCCAACCCATGGGGTTAAGGTGAGCTTGGACTGTGGACAAAATAGACACAGCTATGAATACAACCAATGTCTTGACCAAAACACACTTTTAGATAAAAACTATTAAATTAAATATACTCCAAAGATACAGAAAAACCTCCTTATACCCTGACTCAGCCATCACAGATTAGATCATCTCTTCAATATGGCCATGTTACAAAGAACAAAAATATACTCAAAGATAATGTATCAAAAATTTCAGAGATTAATAGCAAAGCAATAATTGAGTTCCAAAATTTCTACATCCTATGACAAAAGCTATGAAAAGACAGCCACCCCCAAACTTGGTTTAAATGCCCATTCATACACAAAATCATCTTACCAATATTTGCTATATACCTATCCTCACATTATTAACTAAGCCTGTTTTGGGGTCCTGATCAGTTCAGATGATTAAAGATTCCCATCCTTAGCCATGGGGGTTACTGCTTGGTACTGAAATTTCCCCCCCAGCTTTACCGAGGAATAATTGACAAAAACTATATATATTTAAGGTGTACATGATGTTTTTACATGTATATACTGTGAAACGATTACCATAAACAAGCCAATTAACATACCCATCACATCACAGTTACCACTGTGTGTGTGTATGTGTGTGTGTGTGTGTGTGTGTGGAGAATATTTAAAATCTACTCTTAGAAAATTTCAAGTATACAAGGGTACTTCTAAAAGTTTGTGGAAAACAAAATTAAAAGATAATATGAATCTTCCATGAACTTTTTGAAGTACCCTTGTACAATACAGAATTATTGACTAGAGTCACCATGCTGTACATTAGATCTCCAGACCTTATTCATCCTGTTTAACTGAAACTTTGTACCCTTTAACCAACATCTCTCCATTCCCCACCCCAACCCCTAGGCCCCTGGAAACCACCATTCTACTCTCTGCTTCTATGAGTTACTTAGACTTCTTTAGATTCCACATATAAGTGAGATCATGCAGTATTTGTCACTCTGTGTCTGTCTTGTATCAGTTAGCATAATGTCCTCCAGGTTTATTCATATTGCCCCAAATGACAGGATTCCCCACACTTTTTTAAGTCTGAACAATATTCCATCATATCTCTCTCTATCACATTTTCTTTATCTATTCCTCCTATGTTGCACTGGATTTTATAGGGAATAATAGGACAATGAACCCTTGGGACAGTCTCTGTCATCTGCTCTCCTGAAATTTCCTTCTTCTCAATGCAATTTAAAAAAATTTTCAAATTATAAAAAATTTCAAAGTATAAAATTTAGCTCAGAAATGAAAGATATTCCTAATTTTGGTAGCTACAAAACAAAATGTACAATGTATTTCCATTTTTCAGAGGAAAAAATATACATGCCTATTAAAAGATGTAGAAGAAATAAATATATCCGAAAGAAGTTATTTTTAGTTATAACAATAAGTAATATTTTTCTTATCTTTATTGTTAGTATTTTCTAAATTTCCTTTGACATGTTTTTTTTTTTAAGGAAAGAAAGAAAATATCTTTTTTTTTTAATTTTAATTTTTATTGACTCATAATTGATTATATTTTGGGGGTTCAACGTTGACATATGTTGATCAAATCAATATGACTAGCATATATATTGTTACAAATCATAATTATTCTTTATGCCCCTTGTCAAATCTCTCCCTATCCCCCTCTCCCTCCCCCCCCACCTCTGATAACACTAGATTTCTTCTCTCCTTCTGAAAGAATAATGGTTACTTTGTTGATTTGTTGCCTATATGATCTGTCAATGCTGAGAGGTGTAATCAGGTCCCCCAATATTATCATAGAGCAGATGCTTCTTCTGTCACTCTGGAATGGGCTTTGTGGAGAGAGATGTCCTCTTTTTTTCTTTGGTCTCTGCTGGTGACTC